GTACGCTCACGATTTCACATTGCGGTTGTCTATCTTCCTCGTTATATGTTAATCAATGCCCTAGCCTAATAGTTTTCCGTGGTTGTGTTTTGTACGATTTGGGTTTTTATTATATTTAAAAATGAACAGTACTAATATTTGCAAACTTTGCAACAAATTATTTGGCGAACGCTATAACTTGAGAGCGCATATAAAAAAATTTCATCCAGGTAAGAAACACCATTTCTTATCTATTCGAAACATAAGAAAACATGTAATTAACGTTGTAGATAAATTGGAAGAGTTAGCGCCCCTTAAGACTTTTAAAATTGGCGCGGTATGCAATGAGTGTGATAAAACATTCGTAAAATATTCCAGTTTGACTCAACATGTAAAAAAATATCATAACGGTAAGTCAGTAACAAAAATTAATGCAGTCAAAGTTCAAGAGTATTTTTTTATATCTTATTTTAGATAAATTATCTCAACTCACCAAGTCAAAGAAATACCTATTTGAATGTGAAAAGTGTCAAAAGCATTTTACACACTTTCGGCATTTTAAATATCATAAAAAAATACATGAGGAAAAAAAAACTAAGGGCCTAAGATGCATTTTGTGTAAACAAGAATCTGATGCAGAGTGTTTTACCAAACCTGATTTGTTTAAACATTTTAAAATAAGGCACGATGTTGATATAATAACTGAACAGCTATACTTTACCAGTTTGGAAGAATTTAAGACGTGGAAAAAGGAAAAAGAAAAGCAATCGAATGAATTATTTGTAAAACCATATGGAACAGACAAAAATAAAAAATTCACTACAACAAAATATAAATGCCACCGGTCTGGATTTTACAAAAGCAAGGGAAAACATTTACGACATTTAAAAACACAAGGCTCAAAAAAAATTAATGGATACTGCCCTGCAGAAATGTCTGTTACAGAAATTGATGCAAGATTTGAAGTTGAATATGTTAGTACGCATGTAGGGCACACCAGTGATTTAGGTCATCTAACTTTAAATGAAACAGAGCGGAATAAATTGGCTGTCCAAATTGCAGCTAAAATTCCATTCGAAACAATTTTAGATGAGGTTAGAGAATCCATTAATGGTACTTTGGAAAGATGTCATCTTTTAACAAAGAAAGATTTATATAATATAGAAAGAAGTTTAAACCTCAATAAAGAAGCTCGTAGACACTGCAATGACGCAATCAGTGTAGATGCCTGGGTACAAGAAATTAGAAGTACTGGATGTGTTTTATTCTACAAAGCTCAGGGAGAATGTTGCACTGACTATCCTCTACTAAACAATAACGATTTTGCATTGGTAATTATGAATCAAGGTCAGCATGAAATGTTGGATAGATATGGCGATGATTGTATCTGTATTGATGAAACGTTTGGGTTTTAACCTTATCACAATAATGGTATTGGATGACATGCGTGAGGGATTTCCATGTGCTTTTCTAATTTCAAATCGAGCTGATGAACATATGATGCGAATATTTTTTATGTCTGTTAAAGAAAGCTTGGGTAGATCCTTAAAATCAAGTGTTCTTATGACAGATATGGCTCCAGTTTTTTATAATGCCTGGATTGAAGTTATGGATTTGCCTGTTCACAGACTCTATTGCACATGGCATGTGGATAGAGCTTGGCGTAACAATTTATGCAAAATATGTTCAAAAGAAAAGCAGGTATGTTAACCGTAGGAAAGGGTATACAAAATCTAACTTTTTTTTTAAATTATCATGAGTATTAAGCATCTTGTTCTTTTTTTCATGCACGTTGGCTCGTTTTAGTACTACTTGTCACTATTTTCTTTTATTTTAGGTGGCCGTGTATAAAAAACTGCGCACCTTACTTCAGGAAACAGATAAAAATGCGTTTTCGGCGATGATTAGTAACTTTTTAAATAATTTATTAGAAGATCCGGACACTACAAATTTTGGTCAATATTTCCATAAGTACTATGCAAAAAATGTTGATTCGTGGGCTTATTGTTACCGTATACATTCTGGTATTAACACCAATATGCATATAGAGAACATGCACCGTAGCATTAAATATATTTATTTAAATGGGAAAGTTAATAAACGACTAGATCAAGCTATATATATTTTGATGAAATTCGTTAGGGACAAATTATTTAATCGTTTAATAATTTTAAACAAGGGAAAAATTTCCACAAAATTGAAAGACATAAGAGCAAGACATAAAACTAGTAATGCATTAAATGTTGATGTAGTAGTAGTCAATGAAACTGGTTGGATGGTACCATCATCATCCACACAAGATCTGTACCAAGTTGAGAAAAGGCAAAAACATTGCAATTGCAAGTTAATCTGTTCCTACTTCATAAGTATTCGTGCTCATGCTTAGACTCTTCAATTAAATGGAACATGTGTAAACACATACACCTTATATGCAAATTTTTGAAAACTCAAAATGTTCATGCCAATGAAAACCAGGATGAAATTATCCAATCTGTAGGTAAGTCTACCTAATGGTCAAAATTTTAAATTTGTTGGTGGCTAGTAAGAATTGATGCTGCATTGTCATTTGTCATTCGTTAAACGAAAGCGCATTTTTGGATTTTACTGCTTAACGAAGTTACCTTTTTTTCTAGATGACATGCCTCATTTAACAATTGACGAAAACTTTAACCCCCAAGAAGAAAATACAATCATCCAGGCACTCTCCAAATCAAAGAGAAATGGAAATGAGAAGTTTATAAGTGAGAGAGAGAAATTTAAGTTAGCATTAGCTCCTCTTATCCCTACTTTAACAGCATTCAGGAATTTAAAAAACAAAGAAGTTTGCAAAGAAAATCAAAATATACCCCATAATAAAAAAATTCCCCAACAACGGCGGCTGTTTAAGACAAAAAAGAAATGTATACCTAAAAAAGACAAGACAGCCAAACCAGATAGTGAAGAAGTTAATAAAATTGCATTAAACATGTTACAATTTTGAATTAAATATCTTTATTATGTATTTAGAAATATTGAAACAATTATGTACTGTGTAATCTTTTAGCTATGCAATGCAAGTTCGTAGTTCAAAATATCTGCGCGAAAAAGTTAGCGCCTGTGCACAATGTGAAAGCCAAAGTGGAATCCTTGGCGCTAGCCGCCAGTCAATTCGTCCCATACCTTATCTTTTTTTTATATTTTTATACTCCTTACATGTAAGGTCGTATAAAATTGGATTTCCTCTCATTAACTCAATTAGTTGTTCTGTCATTTTCTTTCGAGACATGCAGCGCGAACTGGGGGGCCAACTGTGAGTGCAGCGGTCGCCCGCCACCGCTCTAGATCGCCGCGTTTGTTCGCTGCACTGATCTCCACCGCCGCCGCTCGAACGCTTCAGTATGCGTTGCCTGTATAAAGTGTGTGCATCTTAGACCATATAGTACATGGACTGCTATTATCCCTATGCTTTCAATACAAAATGGGTGGTCACGGATAGAGGGCACTGTAGTCGTGGGTATGCATAGATATATAAATACCTAGATACAGCCATCCTTAACAAACGTACCTCGGTTTTTAAAAAACATATCAAAGAAATTTGTACATCTCTCCATTACTTTCTAACCAAGAAGAAACATGTTCTATCTCTTTTTATTGCATTAACCACTATGTCGTACGCGAATCGGACGCTTAAAACAAACTTAGCGCGTCTCATAAGTCATGTGACAGTTGACACATTTCACGATCGCGCGAAATCAAATCTAACTAANACTTTACCTTCGGGATTAAAAGTACTACTTCAGTCCCGCGGTATATAATATACTATTTCACTACTAGCACTTGAAGTCCTCTAAATTAACATATTATACTGATAAGAAAGTGAACGGTTGGACAGAATTTTTTGTTTATTAATTTAAGATGTCAATCAAGTACGTGGAAGTAGCAGTCAAGAAGGCCGTAAATGTCATTGAGACATTTTCAAAGAGTAATTTCGTTCGAATTTTTTCAAAATGTGAAAATTGTAGGTATGTAATTCCTCTGGAAATGGCGGATGGTGGCAATTATTCATTTTAGAGAACTTGTCTAATCGTTTATTGAGCGAAATTTGGGGTTGTGTTTTCTAAAAGTGACAGCGTGATAGTTCTCATTATTGACTACTAGTTAATAATGTCCACATTATTAACCACTTTGAACAAATGCGGAGAAAGCCTACTTTACAAGTGGAAAATAGGTTAATAATCATGTCATCAGACGCTAGTAGTGAAAAAACAATATTTTGACGTGACGTGACGTTGACGTTCCGTAAAATGCGAATCGACCTTTAAACGGTTGAACGGGTTTAAACCAAATTTGCTACACATGTTGTTAGACATAAAAGGGCAGAATCGCGCAGGTGGGGCGGGTGGTACCTGTGCTAACCACAGCAAATTTTTTGTTATTATTTATTCCAGTCCGAATTGAGTAGGTATTCATAGCTAAGCAAGAGGACAACGTCCGCCGAGTCGGCTAGTGGATTTATATATCGTCGGCTTAATCCGCAAACGTCTTAAGTCCATTTATGACAACTTTACAGGAGAGCAAAAAAACTTTTTAAAACTTACACATTGACAGATTCGGATCTTCACTTTCTATACTTTCAGTTAATTCACATTTGTGCAGCATCAGGAGCCATTTTGTAGACAAAAAAATGTTTAATCAAAATTTAATTGGACTTAAAAGCATTTCTCATCAATATATTTAAACAGCAAGTGACTTACAACATTTTCTTTGAATGTTTTATTTAAATCTTTAACAATTAAAGTATTTAAAATAAACAGCGTTTGTTACTAAAAGAAATGAAAAACTTTGGTTTGTAAAACAAAAGAACTAAAATGACAAATATTTACATTATGTATAGGTACCTACTTAAATTATTTGTATGCAAGGGCGTCATAAAAACCATGATAATGATTATCCAGACTCTTCTTTAAGATCTGTAGATGTTCATATTTTTCCTTTTTAATCGGTATTGGGCCTTTATATAGTTGTGGAAGGTTTTCTATGGCAACTGTCATTGACACAGACTTAGAAGATCCACGTTTGCCGTTATTTAAGTTTTCGTATTCTTGTCCATGTCTTAAAGTGTAAAACAACTGGCCATCTGGTAGGTAACGAAGCCCTCTTATATCGGTTATACTTGGATCGCCAACTTTTCGTCCTGGGCGTAAAGACGTTAAAAACTGCAAGTCGTCAAACTTTTTAAAAAAACTGAAGTTTAAATATTTCACCTTATAAGGACGTGGCTTCTTGTAACATTCAATTTCATTAACAGCATGTAATTTGGGTTGCATATATTTCCGCGAAATTCAAAATTTAAACATCTATCTTGTGGGGGTTATCAGGTCACATTCTTCTGATTGTGGTATACTTTACCTTGACCAATTTTTGGACACTTTTGAAGCTAATCTTCATCGTGGTAGTTGCTACAAATAATTACATAGTTAATTATCGTTATTATTACGGATTAAGTAAGCTACTTACGTTATTTCAAGAGGCTCTTTAGTAGTGTTGTTAGCATAGCCCTTGAAAATTCTCATTATTTTGGGATTTAGAAGATTCAGCTGGTAAGGGTGTGGTCGCCACGCTAAAAATTACTTAATCGTTAATAATTTTAGGTAGCTTTGGATGATACAGCCGTTGTAACTATACATCATAATATTAGTACAATTATTTAGTTTACTTAAGAGCAAAAGCCAGATCCTTCTGGGTTAGTATTAATCTCATAATCACAGTAATCTTACAGATTCTATTTTAGCTTTTGATCCAAGTTTTATGCTACCAGTTTTAAGACAAATTTAGTAACCAGATTCGCATACCCGTTTTGTTTATCGTTAAGACCCGAACATCTTCCCTGTCAACATTTATCTACTCCGTATTCATCGATACCATCGCTGGTTCCAGCTCTGGGGAAAAAGAAAATAGCTTTACACACTTTGAAGAACCATTTATGTACTCACCGGAATACGTGTAAATAGAGTCTCTGAGCAGGGGTAAGAGTAAGAGAGGCATTGCACATCACTATCCATCTTGTATAATTTCATAATTACGTTCACTAAATTCTTAAGGTTTATACTTACCACTGTAAAAGCGTCAACAAGTTACCGGTCACTTCCATCATTTTATTTGTTAGACCGACTATTACCCCCTTGAACTACGAGTTAGTAGTTATAATAAGACGCTGTAAAGTAAGCTTACGTTACACCCGCCTTAGGTAATGCTTTGTCCACCCACTTGTGTTCGCTGCCAAGTTGAAGTTCCTTGATTTAATTGTTAATTAGTAATTACTTAGTCATTGTCATAAATCGCGTCATTAATTCGTCATTTGGGTTGTCACATCTTATCATTATCACCTCTTACCTCGCTTGCTTATGCACTACAATAAAATTACTTATATACCCCGTTAAACAGCAGTTTATTATAAAGGTAGTTAGGCCAGCGCGTCCTGATAATTCTAAGGACGTCACTTCACTGGCTGTAGAATTTGGCGCCCTTAAAATATATTATTTTACGACCCCGCCCAGAGCTAGCTGGCGCAGGGATTACATCGCCTTACCATCCTTATATGTATACAAATATTATTGTGTGGCTAAATTTAGGTTACATTCTGCCTAGCTTTTAGACACACTTGAACATAATCTGCTGGTACATTTATTTTCCTGTTTCGTAGCTGTTATTCAATTGTTGAGTGCATAGAATCCACCTCCATCTGCGTGTGGCCGCGCTCTAAATACTTCTGTTCAATGGTAACATTATGAAGTATTGACAAGTTCAGTAAAGCGTTACTTAAAATGACGTTTCTGTTTTGGGCAGCACATCCATCGCTGTACAAGATTATGTGCTGTCCAGATTGTAAAGTTCCTACAACGTGTTGCTCTAAAAACGTGCAGATGATACTGGCGTAATTATTTGAAGTCACTCCTCCTGCTGCTTCATGCCATAGATAACAATATCCCTCAGACGTTTTCATATCGTACACAGTGAAATTATGTACAATTAATTTCGTTTTAAAATATAGCGAGGATACATTGGATTTGGGACTGAGCAGTACTGACTGGAGATCGATACAAAAAATCTTGTTGTTTGAAGTTTTATCTTGCACTTTTTGTAATCTGGCTTCTTGCTTTTTTTCTTGATGAATGTTATAAACCTCTTCTGATATATTTCCAGTTCTGTATGAGATGCAAATATCACATTCATCTTTTTTTGGTGTAAACAGAGCCAGATTTGCTTCCTGGAACACGTGGTGAAATGATGCAATGGAAAGTGCCTGCGTTTTTTTGCTTACACACCATTCATCTTTATAAAATCTATATAATTCCATTTTGGTACGCCAATTTGGTTCAAGGTAAAGCTTTTGAGTGGAGGCTCGGCAGTAATGGGATTCGACTTTTGGCAGCTCCTTAAAAAACTCTGCAAGAAGAATTTTTTTATGTCTGTATTGATCATTCATGGTAACCGCGGATTGACACTTTACATCATCTGTACCAACTGTCGTCGTCTTATCAAGTTTTCTTTGCTTGATTCAGTTTGAAACCATCTTTTCTCCAACACCAGGAGTATTTAAAAACATTTTTTTTGCAAACTCTGATCTTTTCATCGTCCAGCTTTAAATAATATTCAAGTGACGTACTTCTTTTTGAAATATTATCGTCCTTGCGATTACGTTGTCTCTTTACAGCAATCCTTTTCACTAAAAAACTCATATACACCTTTCTCTCGAGCCAGCTCATTTTCGACCAAAATGTGGTAAATATTTGCATCCTATCACTATCAGTGATACTGCTACATTTAAGTTGCGTCGTGTTCTTGGATAATTTACAGTTGCATCTTTCCTTTAATTTTCTTTCTTCCCTTTTTACATTGTAAACCCACTTACCGTCCACCTTCTTTTTTCCCTTATATTTTTGTCCACTTTCGCGTTTTCTTTGTTGGGCTGTTTCATTCCAGGTATTTGAATCTACAAAATGTCTCTTCCTTCTTTTTGTACGATGATTGTTATTGTCTGAATCCGAATTTGATTTATCCAGGTCGTTGCTATCTATGCTACCATAGTCAAGATCATTTGTATAACCTCGCACGGAATGATCACTGGAAGCAGAAGAATTTTCCTTTTCCCAGTTCGTGTCCCCTTGTGGTAAATTAATTAAAGTTTCATCGCAGCCTGCTCTCTGAGTTTGATCAGTTAATAGAAAATTTGTTACTTCTGGGATATCTAACAACAGATCACCTTCAATCTCTTCATTGAATGCGACATTTTCTGGCAAAGAGGTATTATTGCACAAATCAGACTCGGTTGTAATATTGCTGTTAATGACAGGTAACACTATTATGTCATGGGATTTTTCTATTTCTTGCTGGTAGTAATTTGCAATGTTTTGCACTTCGCATCGTTTAACAGGCTCATCATTATTTTGACTTGGTGCAACATTTTCTTTGTCCGAAACTTGACCAGTAACATTGCACTCATGATCTTCTGTTAAGGGTTTGAGCATCCTCAAAATTTTCATACTTCTGCTGTTAAGCATTTTCTGGGAAAAAAACCTTTTAGTATAGATCTTACAAAAATTATGTTAAGTAATTTCACCTAAACAACATTAATTTTTTATATTCTCACAGGTACAGAAAACGACGTAAGTCCTTACAATGTGGACATACGTCAGTTTCACGATAGAACAGGAAAAATATCACTAAGTGGAAAACGACGTAAGTCCACTCACAAGTTTGTACCACACCCATGTAGATAAAACATTGTTTGGAGAAATAACACTACTTTAAAAACTCTTTATAATACTTACAACTGCAATTTTGGTATCATCCATTGCCACACAGCACCTCAACCGTCGTTAATTACACAGTGACACAAACGCCATTACTGTTCATGGACATACGACTATTGCCTACTAACTACAGCGACAAGGACTTACGTCTAAAGTTAATCGGTCGAAAAAGCAGGGTTCTTTAATTTTTAGTTGCGTTATTTTTTTTGTATAAATGGATGCAATCCAGGACAAGCAGATGGCGCCAAAATGTAATTTTCAAGTAAAAGTGGACTTACGACATTTGCGGATTAAGCCGACGAAACGCTTATTATTTAGTAGTATAAAATGATGAATTTGTCTGATAATTGACCAATTGACCAGAAACATGTACACTTTAACAACAAATGTAAAACCAACATGCACATCGCTGACAATTAATAATATTCAATCATATTCGCTATATCATACCGGAAAAAAACTAAATTCCATTAGTCGGAATAGTGGTTAACAAAAGGTCTCGCTAGGCTTGTTAATAAAATTTGGAGTAATATGTCGGCTAATTTTTTACAATTAAAGTAAACCCTTGAGTTATACACCGTTAAAATAATTGTAATTATCTATTTCAATAAATTACTTATTTTGTAGCAGACCATGAATATTCATGTTAATTACACGCATGCAAATGTACGAAATTAGCATTTCAAACTATTGCAAAACAGATGATGTCTATTGAGCGTGAAAACCTTCAATTTTTAGAAACCATCAAATTTACATTTTTCAATTTTTAGTTCTTCGGGTGCAATTATTCGGGTGCTTGGTCATCAAAGTTGTGGAAGCGATTGCTGTCAAGGTGATTTATCTTGTAAGACACGTCGTTGCTTTCATAAAGATATCCAATGCAGCTATGAGCATCAGTGGGGCTTAGCTTTAAATTTCAATTTTATATCTCGCGCTTTAAATGTAAATTTATTATCATACTTTTCTTAATAGGATTTCTTTGTAAAACAAGAACACTACACTCGTTTAGCGGGGACTGATATTTGTGTATAATTTCCGATGATTAAATTTTTCGCTCATTGTCCTGTTACGGAAATTAAATTTCTGTCCCACTGGCCGGATGACAAGACTGTAATCGAAATTACATTTGGTCATTACTCTCTTCTTGGGAGGCCTCTTCATTATAGGCAATAATCGCGCAATAGGATTGAATAATATATTCGCTTTTGAGTATAACCAGATTCGTGAACAGTTTCAATCGATTTAAAAGCAATATACTGTGTAAGTTTTTTTGAGAGGAAATGTTGAAATTAAGTGCGGTCTCATATTTTCATAAAATACAGGATGCGGCGACTAGTTCTCTCACATTTGAAGGAGCTGATAAAAAAAATTCTTTTTTATTCGGAAAGCTAACATGATAAAGTTCTTTTTTACTTATGATTTGAAAACAATATCCTCCAAATGACGGCCTTGGCAAGTGACGCACATGTGGAGCCTTTCGCTGTTTGTAGACCTCACTCTTGAGGTAGCCCCACTGGAATAAGTTTTCAGTGTCGTCAGTCATGCAAAAATTCCTCCAACATGTTGCAGTATCGTTGGGATGTCGCGGTCACTTCCCCAAAAAGTAAGGGCCTATGATCCTAATGGCGGACACGGCGCACCAAACCGTAACCTTTGGGCTGTGAAGAGGCCTCTGATGAAAATTGTACATAAATGTGATATACAAGTTGCGGAGACAAAACATGTTTTAAATTGAAAAATTACTGCTTGATGAAACTGCAGCTGGAGACTTTCTACTAATCACTTCTTTTACGTTTTCGGACAGTTGGTGTGAAATTGGCGTGGCGTCCTTTCTCAGTCTTGTTCGCATTGGGGATGTGAACGCCGAATCTTCAAAATGGTCTTCACATATGTACCTACCTTTTATGTAGTGTCTTTGTACTAAGGGAATTCCTATAATAGCAAAAAAGTTCGCCCTTAAACTTATCAAATAAAATATGTTTTGACAAAAATCCAAATAGTCGATTTGTATCTCCAGGGGGGGGGGGGGGAATTGCCTATTTTAAAAATTAGTTTCTACTAAAAAGGACAAAATTTTGCTAAAGTATAAATAAGAATTGATCTGAATGATTCTTAATTTAAAATTGGCATTATTCCCCTTCATATACTCAAAACCTTTTTGCATTACGGTTTAACTAGATTACATTTCAACAATTGCTTAAATGAATTTTCTTACCTGATAACAAAATCCAATTTTGTGCACGATGAACGTTCTGTGGAAATCTATACATTTTTAGACCTGCATACGCTCTCTTACTTTTAATAGTAGAAGGGCACCTCTAAAAAGCATTATGCGGGTCACTCTGTAATTGGGCGTAAGCCTGTTAAGGGCCTAGAACAAGAGGGACAATAAATAAATAAAAAAAAAATACAGGTGGTAAATTGGCACCTATTACCGGCCATTATTGTAAAATTCAGATACCATATAATCATTGAATAAGCACCTTTATTCAATGGTATAATTCAAAATGAGAAAATTAAATTAAAAGGTCAA